ATAATTATTATCTAATTATTTTTTTTATCATAAACCTTTAAGGTATTGGATATAGAAATCCTTAATTATTTTTAAATTAAGTACAAATTTTATATTTATTGGCACGTGTTAATTTTCTCAGAGGCAACAAAGTTTACTTTAAAGTCTGAGTACGGAATAATGAGATCAATCTTTTCCTTCTAAAAGTCATCGGGAAAAAAAAAAGGTTGGGGGAGGGGTTGAAAATTTAAAGCGTTCCCACACTGATTAGTCACTTTCACGTTTTTTTTTTTTTTTTTTACCAAAATAATAATTAAAAAATTAATTTGAATTAATAATTAGCAGTTAGAGATGTGATTTCTAAACTAAGTAAACATTCCACCTTCTCAAATGAAGCGCACGGCTATTGAACCACTAATAACGGCTATTGAACCGCTATTAGTAGAGTTCATGACGATAATAATACTCAAAACTTTGACTACCTTACTCAAACATTAAAGCTTGAAATGGAACAATTGAGCCTTAAAGAACCCGGTTCAGTCACTTTCACGTATTGATTGTCACATTTAGGACCTATCTTTCATTTCTTTTAAACCACCCATGTGAAATAGAGTAATGATCTGCAGGATGATTTTAGAGGATAAAACAAAAGACGACAGGTAAGGTAATTTTAACAATAATTATCAATTTAAACCTACTTTTACTTATCATCCTTCAAGATCGTTTTTCAAAATCGTCTCACAAATCATTATTAATATGAAATAGCTTTTGCTTGGAAATCCGCTCACCCACCCCTATTTAATGATATAGAGATAAATGTCCGCGGACTGCGTCAGAATTGCTTGGTGAGATGTGATTATCACAATTTAATTTATTAAGATCATGTAATATTATTTAAATAATATTAATTTTATAAATATTAATTAAATTAAATATAATTTATATAATTTTAATGAAATATATAGAGTCACGATCACCACATTCAGTTGCTGGTTTGGTGTTTCGCATGCGATGCTAATAAATAAGACAACCAAACCGTCCAGTGGTCCTCTGGGAGCTGAGTCATTTAATTAGAGCCTGACTCGTGTCATCTCTTTCGGGATCACATGCATGAGCCAACACCCACGTGGCTCGAGTGGTTCGTTTCTCGTAAGGGTACTGTAAAGGCTAAGAGCATGTTAAAAAAAAAAAAAAAAAAAAAGGGGTAGAAGAAGAAGAAAGGAAAGAAACGGAAGAGGGAGTTCGTTTTAGGAACATATTATTATATATAATTAATATTATCAACAATTGAGATTTATTTATATATTATATTTAAATAATATTTAATTATTTTTATTTTTAATA